CACCATTATATCAGAATGCTCCTTAAAAAGTTAGTATATATATTTATTATGCTTCTCAAACAATCAGGATGCCCTTCTTCTGGGATTTAACTAAATTCGCGTCGTCATTCAAGTCGGATGTTGTTATGTTTATAAACATTTCGATCATGTTATCGAGTGTGCACTTTTTTGTTTGCCAACCATGTAATTAATTGCAGATGGATGTCACTTGTTTCGAGTTTGAACTTTTATTGGTTTTAAGAGAGCCGTACATAATGGATTATGACGTAACTTCAATATTAAGCTTGATGATTTAAGCTGATATATGGTATCCATAATATTTAATTACGCATGTAATTTTATTAATACATCAACCATGTTTTTATTAGTATTGTTCTTTGAGGTCACTGACTTCACGTTGGAGGCAAACCGTTAACATCACATAGTTCACCAGTTAGGTTGGGTTACATGTGCTGGTTATATATATTTCTCCAGTCATGAATTCAGTCAGTCGGACAAAATGCATGTGAAAGTTATTGTTTAACTGCGTCACGATCGTCTATAAATCGAATCAACGTTTCAATATGACGCCTCAGTTTAATCTGGCCAACAATTCTGTTAGATTGGGAGTGATAGGAGTTATAGGTGTTCCCACACCGATTTAATAGGGGGAATTCCTGCTCCTGACGAAATTTAGCGAGGAGTGAGTTTAGAGCGGTCTAAACCACGTGAAAATGGATAAAGAAAAAAGTAATGTGTGAAAAATAGCATATTTGTAAATATACTGTAAAACATGTCTTTTTAGCAAGCATGTTATTTTAGCTAATTTAGCTAATCCGCAATTTCGCTAAATTAAGATGTCGCTAATTAGAATAGAGTATATTCTCCTAGTAAGATTATTGACACTTTAGCTAAATTAAGATTCCGTTGATTCATGCATTCAGTCAAGTTCGCTAACATGGTATGTAGCTATTACTGCTATTGCTTTACAGTAACTTTGAAAAGATTTTTTTTTCTCACAGATCACATTTTTTAGCGAACCCTAAAATGTCTACATGATGTTGACTACTATAAGGTTATTACGAAGATACCTCAAAGTATGCACGAAGACAGTACAGCGGCAGTATCGACCGACGCGCAGCGGAGGTCGATGCGACAGCGTACTGTCTGAGCTTCTTTGTATGGAGTCCGGTCAAATCCTGGTGGCAGCCATGTTTGTTTTTATTATCAGAGGACGCTTACACGCGTAATCATTCCATATTTGGAATTCGCATTTCCAAATATGGTAGTATGAAAATACCTCGTAAAATACCGCAAAATTACGGCACGCTGTAACTTATGGCGTTACGGTAACATATGTATAATAATAGCGTATATTGTGTTTAATTTATATGGGCACTGGCTTACGCAATAAATTACGTAGAGGGAAATATGACACTCCAGATTGTATCTAATAATACCATTCCAACCTCCAGCCCCCAACTATACTTATCAAAAACCTCGCAATATCACCACACTTCAGAAATGAGGGAATAGTGTCACCTCACTCTATATTTTAACATTGTAATTTCACCGATTAAACAAACTGAAGATATGTCATAATAATGATGTATGCGATAAGCTTTATTGTCTATGAGGAATACACTTACTGTATTCACATCATAAGAATGTCAAGAATGCATTACTAAATTACCAACCACAATACAAATCGTCACTGTAGACTGTCGGACATTGTTGTTATGTGTACATGATTGACATATGAGTTAATGAAACATGTCCCATGACGGAAAATACATAGTTGCCCATATACTCACTCTCTCACACTGTGCTGTGCCTGCATATACATAACAACTGCCGCAGTCAGTCATCAATTAATAATTAACATGTCGGGCCATAATAAGGGGGTCACATTTTGCCGTTCGTTTATGACGTTAAACGTCATAGAATACAAAAAACGAATAATCATGACAGCTTCATTTGTCCTTGCATACGTTATGTGTGAGCACACAATACCATGACGTTATTAATTAATAGTGCCAAATGAATGTTTATAATTCCGAAAACTGCAAAACATAGTTGATGTATTAATATAATTACATGCGTAATTCAATATTAGGAATTAATGTTTATAATTCCGAAAACTGCAAATAACCCAGTCGCATAAACCGAACATCGTTACACACCGGATTAAATTACTTAACTTGGCAGATATGATATTTGGGTTATGTTGGGTGATTTCAGTCAAAGTCAGGTCAAAGTTCTTTGAACCATATGTCATACAATATCATATACTAGTAATATACAACCTGTCTTCTATGTTTAAATAGCCTTCATAAAAAAAAACTCGATTTGTGTAGAATGTACATGCTCCTATCTCTAACCACTAGTTATATGAAGCAATGTTTGTAAATCGTCGCAAAGTATCAAAACAGTTGAAAACTATGGTCACAATTTGAATATCAAAGTAAATGCACATGCGCATACTTTTGATTATCTTCTGTGCAGACTAAGCTGATCACACATCTTTGTCAACTCTTGCCAACAGTTATTTCAGTTATCATTCTAGTCATAACGAACAGTCTATAATTTCGAGTCATTGAATACAAAATATATCGTATTTATTATAATATTAATGTTATTTATAGATCGCAGTACCGTATGTTGCAATTCTCAAACTGTTCATATCTACATAAATCGACCTTGGCGGATAAAATTGGTTACAGCTGTGATAATCACCAAAAACGTGACGCCAGGGTTCATTGTTTGTTATTCTTAAAATAAGATATATGGGGTTCTTGTTATAATGGATGGTATGGCTTGAAACATAAATTTAAACTTTGCTGCCAATTAAAGTATTTGGATGTATATATACAAATGTTGATGGAATGCTTAACAAACTCCCTAATCACGTGGAATTTGTGTGCCATGTTCAAATTATAGTTTAGCATTATATATGTGTTGATACGCAAACATGGTCATTCTAATGCTGATGAAAGTGTGGGATACATGGACAATGGTTGGATTTCATTTAATCATTTTTCAGTAGTATAAATAATTATTATAACCAATGTATATGTAGTAGTTGCCCTTATCTATGTTACTTTAGTGATTGAACACATTATTTTTCTGATCTGTCTCCTAATATGAATGATGTATGCCTCGCCATAATTGCAATTAATGCACGTTATTTTTAAATGGTCGGTCGATAATGACATTGAACTATATTTGTAGGATAAGATTGTTATTGATACAATGATATTAATTCGTATAGAAGAAAGATAACTTCCGATGATGAATTACTTCCTTGGTGTACACAATATGTGTATACGTCACGTATAATATTGTTGCTATTTTAGGGAAGTCTGACAAGGCAGATATTTATTTTCACTTTGCGCAAACACGACGATTTGTCTTCATTTCCGGGTTCATGTGTCAAACGCTTACACGTCAAATATGAAATATTCTTATTTTTCATCATCCGAAAAACATTGTTTGCTGATCTCCGGTAGTTACACTTGTCGCCGCTCTGATCTAGTGTTGTTTGTAGAGTTTGTAGTTATTGTAATGAGAGCATTTGACCAGCAAACTTTTTATTTGAAATTAAGATTTAGTTTTTTTAGTTTTTTTTAAATCAAATAGTAAATAGCCTGTTCGCAGTGTTGACGGTCGCAAAAACGAAGCCGATTCAACCACTAATTTTACTAATATCAAGAAAAGTTTACCAAGCTAATTACTCACTATGAATATATCAATATGCCATTTCGAAACCAGCCGGATATTGATAAAATTCCACTAAGACTTGCTATGACTAAGACTAAGACATATGGTATCATATTTAACAATACGGTTTTTAATACAAACACGCCATCCATCCCTTGAAACAATTTCTTCATCTTTTTCAAGATAGAGAGGATTCCATTCGTACATACATGGCCCATGCAATTTATACAAAATCTAATTATGGTGTGAAACGAAAACTCAGGTGTTGGTTTCGGTGCAATGTTGATCCAGTCGAGTCCTATAAATATGCTATAAATATGTTATATATATGCTCGCTGGTATTCGCTTTTGCGCGCCATACTAACAAATTTACTTTTTAGTTACCATGGTAACTTACTTAATAAACCAGTTTGAAAAACAAAAACGCCCTACCTCCTCCCCATAGTATTAATTTGAAAAGGGAATTCATTGTTGAGTTTGTCACGACTACATATATTCACGACTGTTCTTATCTGTGCCCTTTAATGACATGTTCAATGTAATTGAGGTTTAGTGTGAAATATCGCTAAGTAATATTTCACATTAAATGTGTCGATATACAGTCTTAAAACACCACCAATCTGCATGGACGCAAACAATACTCTGAGAAAACAAATCATGCCACGGTAGTTTTTATGTGAATTCAGCCAAGATAACAAGCTGACATTAAGTGCAATTACAATAAATCATAATAGTGTTGACTTAAATGTTGTTTTGCAAAAATATTGCTAAGAAAGGTAATATTTCTGCCGATTTCGAAAATCATTGGTACCCGTCACTGCAAATACGCCGAATTAGCATAAATTAGCATATGATTTGTAAGCATATTACTGTAAGATCATAACTTTTTAAGTGATAAAAAGGTTATCACCTGATATCACTTATTCGTATTATTTAATTCCCAGACGTCATACTCCTGTGTTGTTCTACTCCCACTTAGGACTATAGAGTAAAGTACAGCTCCCGAGGCACATCACTTTTTCATCGCGTCTAATGAACTGTGTTTGACAAGTATAATGCACTGTTATATGGTTTAACCTTTTATTGATAGCCTTTTTTTAGGTAACAAAACAGTTAACTACATCAATCATATCATTGAGAGAGTTCTCGTTAATGTGGCAAGTATTCACAATGCCAAGGTCACCAACGACACTATCAGCAGTAATTAGTGACTATATATGATTATTTTGAACAAATTTGATTTCATTTAGGGTATAAAGCAATCTATAATTAGAGTCAACCGTTGTTGTTCTATCATACAGCTTGGTGTCAAGCATGCTGCGAAGGAAATAACTGCGTATACCATCGCTGTGTCGCCAGATGCTATGGTGTACAAATATCATGTTGTATTGAGAATCCATTATGACATAGGGGTGAACTTGGAAAGACAAAGACAAGTATACACAAAATGTGACACAATTGACAGACACAAGTAGAAATTGGAATAAATACAAGCTTGTCAAATACAAGCACAGCGAACACTGTTTTAATCTTTTCATTGAGTCGGTCTTAAGTCAACCTCGTTCTCGGTGTTCGACAGCACCCAGCATTCGGCTCGCCGATGACATGATAATCAGGTGTAAACCACTAAACAATCGGTGATTGTTTCAATAACTGCTTTACATACTGTAAGTTAAAATAGGCTAAATCACGACGAAATTACGAGTTAATGTTTTATTCTAAACATGTCAGATTAAATTTTCAAGGGAACTTATTAATTTTATTAAATGTGCCTAATTGAAGACTGCGAATCTCCATTCGATTGAAATCTCATTAAAGGTTTGCAGTATATCCCGCTATTTTTGATACAATACGACATGTGTTTGTCAAATTCTGACAAGTGATAATTTCATCTACGTCGAAACCTGAATTGCAGGGTTGTTTTACTCACACAGCGCTAACCAGTCTTGAGCACGCAAATGTTATAAATAAGAGTGGAGTCAATGCGAAGATACTTACAAGATTGTACCTCATCGGCTACCCAATCCTAAAACCAGACCAATCAGAGAGCAGCTTGTTTGTCGACCAATCAAATTCGGCATTGTATTTATATTCGATTCAACTGCAGGAATGGCTCAATATAAACGGTATCACCATAGTAATGTAATCACCGCCACTCCAAAACCTTGATTGTGTATGTCCTCCCGTGTTACAAAGCACATTAGCTGTCACTGTAATTATACTCACAAATCTACGGTAATGTCTAACGTAGTCGCGCAAAGTGCCGTCGCTCAATCATTTTTCAATTGCAATGCTAAATCCCTAGCGACGAATTATGTTAACAAAATATTCCACGGTACAGCAGTTTGCCATTTCAACAGAGGTGAAGACGGTGTGCATCTCCACGATACGAACACCTATATGTTCCACACTCTAATTAGATAATTATGTTCTAGATTTTCGCGTCGATGTATTAAAGCAGGGGAGTCGTTACCTGCACAGACGGCCATAGCGTGCGTTTTCATCGTCTCAATTCCTGCGTGTGCCACATTTGAGGAGAAAAACAAGTCTCGTGGCTCTCGCTCCCTACGAGATCTCGGCGCCCATGTGTGTTAACAGTCTATTGCTAAAATGTTCACAGCAGTTTTGCAATGATAGAAACAGGACAACACATTTCCCACACTTTTATTAATAATAACAAGAATGATAAGAGCAGTTGATCTCCATTTTATCGCGATATTTAAGTAAACGTATGGATCTAAAGAAACTACCAGAATTTATTGTATGAACTAATTATATTATACATTGAAGCTACATCAAATCGACACTATATGTTGAAACATATGCCCTCATATATTATAATACAGTCAAAAGTTCGTAGCAATTATATATGTAGCTCTGCATAAAATATTGAAACGTCAATTTATAATCTTTCACATACTTTCAAAAACATATGATAAACACATTAGCTAGTGAGTGGAGTACGGCTAGGGAATGGTGATAGTCTCAGGAAATATCGCTAAAAGTTTATTAATGAGCCACAAAACAATTACTCTTTACAGGATTAATTATTGAACCATGTGTATAACTGCACACCAGTGTCACGTGTCTCATGATAGTCACACCTTTAATTGGTTTACACATTCTCAGTGTGTGTAACTTGTACCAGGATTGTATCACAGAAACATTTGTTTTATTTCTTGGATTTCGCAACAATTTCTTAAGGTTACCCAGTTTGTCTATGCAATAATCAACACAATGGTCACATAGCCCCCGAGCTGTAGTTATTTGTTTTGGCAGTTATCCTATGGTTAGATGTATTCCTATATGCTCCCAATTTCTGTAATTACATAGAAAAACGCAGTAAACGCTTCCTGTTGTATTTCTAATTACGTAATTGGATATGCGCTGTTATTGTTAGGTTGAAATGAACGAACAGTTGGCACGAAATCACGCTAGAATCATACATATTATTCTTACAGTTGCTGCCTCGAACTGGGAAGTGTCATCTGAATTGGTAGAGGGACTACTTAGTAACTATCCTAAACATGTGCGACCTGTTAAAAACAATTCCAAACCAATAACTGTTGAGCATAAACTGTTACCAATACAGATATTGGATGTCGTGAGTAAAAATCAATATCTTTATTATCTTGAACGTGTTAGTTATATAGAATATGAGGTTATTATGACAATACCTCAAAGTGTGCTCGAAGACAGTAAAGCTGGAGTATCGACCGACGCGCAACGGAGGTCGATGCGCTGCGTACTGTCTTCGTGCATACTTTGAGGTATTCTCGTAAATTAACCTTATTATTATACATCTTTTCCTTCCAAGGATACATCATGGGAATGCCGAAATCCAAAAAGTTTAGAATAGAATCAGCGAATTTTTTTGTGTGGAGTCCGGTCAAACCTTGATGGCAGCCATGTTTGTTTTTATTATTAGAGGACGCTTACGCGCGTAATCATTCCATATTTGGAATTCGCATTTCCTTATATGGTGGGATAAAAATACCCCGTAAAATACCGCAAAAATACGGCAAGCTGTAACTTATAGCGTTACGGTGACAGCTGTATAATAATGATTTTTATGAAGAAACAACTTATGCTTGAATGAACAATACTCGAAACGCTCTCTGAAGAAGAATATATATCAATCAAATATACCTCATGCATCACTTTTTTGTATATCATACTTAATATTGTTATTTCTTCCTCTTGCTAGGACGAGAAGAATCAGATTTTAATCTTAAAAGTTTGGATAAATCATGTAAGTCATATAGTGTATGTTGTACCGCAAATTGTACATGCGCATTAGGTCATTATGTCAAAATATGTATTTTCAGCAACGTGTATGTTACAATGTAAAATATCTTAATATTTATTTAAGATCGATCGCGTACATTCAACCTATTAAATAGAAACGAAAATTATATCACATATTTTTAGTTAAATTTAACAACAGTTATCAATTATATTTGAGGCAAACAATTTCTGCAAAGTGTAAAATCTTCATTTTGCACTGTTTCCATGGAACATTTGAATTAAGTCGTATCTGAAAAATATAAGCCCATGTACAAAAACAAAAGTGCATAGATGTAAACACTCGAGATGAATACATTATAAATCAAAAGGAAAATGACACACGCACTCCAATAAGTGTTGCCAGGTGTTGTGATTGTGTTTCTGGTCGACCCCTTTCTTGGTGTTCTTGGGGCTCGACCCGGCGACAATGATCAGGCGCAGAACACTACACAACCGATGATTGGTTCAATAACTCAGTTGAAAGTAACTTACGACTGTTTTTCAAGCTGTCAATTAAAAGAGGCTAAATCACGAGGAAATGTGAAGTTAATGTTCTATTCCAATATATCAGATCAAATTTCCGGAAGAGACTGATTAATTTAATTAAATGTGCTTAATTAAAGACTGCGAATCTCCTCCGGTTTGATTGAAAACGCAATATTAAATGTTTGCAGTATGCACATCTAATATTGATACAATAAATGAATCGTCAAATTCTGACAAGTAATAATTTCATCAATGTCAAAACACGAAAGGCTAGTTTATTTTACTCTTACAGGAATTAGGCTTGAGCTGCCAATGCTATTATTATGTAAACAGACACTGCGAAGCTACTTAGAAGATTTAACCTGATCCTAACACCTGAAAAAAAACGGTCCAATCACAAAGCAACATGTTTCTGTAAGAAAAAAACCATGAGTTGATATGCGTATATCCCATTTTAAAGCATTGTTTCACAAATTATCAATGTTACCCGTCAGAATAGGTGATTTACCGTTAAACTGCGAGATCTCGCGAGATGCATGAAAGACGCGCGTCGAACGTCTGCGGCAAAAATCGAACGATTTGATTTTGAACTCGAATTTCTTTATTTCGTAGCTCACATCGACCGGCCGATCTTCGACAGAGGAATATTGCTTTCGAATACCCTTACTTAATCGAAATTGTCTATCATCAAATGTGGACAGCACATTATTAAGCACGGAAATGTCCCCGAAATACTTTCGCGTTTGTCGAATCCCACGCGATGTTTGACGCCGCTACGACGCTATGACCTTTGTTTGTCCTGTTTTTACGTTCGATTTCACGCATAACGCGTGATTCTCGCAATGAACGGAAAATGGTCTATTCCTAATAATTCCTAACAACCAAATTTACAAGAATGTTTGACTGAATTTGGTAGCCGTACTTTTTTATCTGCGTTTTGTAAACAACAGCATAAACTGAAACCACTTTGTGAAATTCAAGGAAGTTAAATGGTCTGATTTACTGGTAGCCACCTAAATGTTAACCGTTTTTGATCACATTTTGGACTCTGGTTTTCGGTATCCTGATCGCATTAGTCATAATCATTAAATCATGGCCAAGATAACGTATGATGTGATTTCTACTATCATTAAATTTCTCAACATCGCATATTTCTAACCTAGATGTGGTATGATGATTTTTTAACTTGGAAACCTGAAGATCATGGCGATATTGAAGATATAGTAATACCTGTATCTGAGATATGGCAGCCTGATATTACTTTGTATCAGAGGTAAGAACATTTCATTTCCATATATACCTTTATGATTGCGACTGTGAAAAAAACACATTGCTAAATAGCTTTATCTAAATCTAAATATTTATATTTACTCCTACAATGTATGTATTTTCAGAAAGCAAGGTACTCGGAATGCTATTGTACAAGTTCAGTGGGTTAGGTTACGAAACAACTGAAAAATCGAAGAGGCTCACGATCGGAACAATTCAATTATGTCTCAGATTTATTTATCGGTGTTTTATTTTTTGAGTTACGGGGAGACAAGTACATGTCACGTGAACACTTAACCTGGCCCGAACTATGGTTTGGTACGTCGACAAACGTCCGACATACACTCCATTAGTCTTGAATAATGACTGATATCGTGAATAAATTGGGAATTTATGATGAAATAATGAACGATCTTAAACGGCATGGTCGGCGGAAAAAACGCACACACAACACACAACATTACATTTTCTGTAACTTAATTTTTTATAAAAAAAACGACTTGAAAGTCGATCAGTGGTCGATGAAACATATTCTCTTATATATCACAACTCTCGAATGAAGTACTGTAAAACATGTCTTTTTCGCAAGCATGTCCCTTTGGTGAATTTAGCGAGAGAACTGATTCGCTAATTCAAGATGTCGCTAATGGTTATTATAAATTCAAAATTGCCAAGGCTTAGGGATTTGTATACTGTAATCCGGAACATAAAGATTTGGGGCGCTCCCTAATTACACTTGACAGTTTTTCTTTGTTTTTATGAACGTGATAACTTGCTATTTGTTTTATCACGTGATAGAAAAGTACTGTGAAAACAGGAAATCAACAATGACAGGAGAGATTCGCTAAATCAACATTTCGCTGTTACGTCATTTTACCAGAATTCAGTAAAAATTGCATGTCGCTTTATCAACATGTGCTACAGTATATATAACGATATACATATTCAACGTTGTGACGTCACAGGAAACGCTGTCTCAGCACAGGCCGAACTTCGAACAGTTCGAAACGCGTTACTTATCACTTACATTGTATTGGTTGTCTGAGCTTATCAACACTGCACAAAGCATGTGACCATTTGCATTATCGGATATGTTCTAACTACAAATACCTTGGCAGTTAACACAATTATACCTAAGTGACCAGGTTACTTTAATCAGTTTAATACAACGTTTTACGCCCTGACCTTGAATAAATTGTTCGGGTAATTAGATTAAAATATACATGAATTGCGTTGGAAAAGTGCTGTCCTTTCAAAGTATTAGATTATACAATAAATGACTAACCCTATAAACTGACTAGAAGCTTTGTGTTCTATGACTGTTAGACACAAAAAATCAAATCCGTTCAAGACAGAAATAATATTGAAATATTCACCTGCAAACAAGATTATAAGGGGGTGTTCGGAATCCTTTTGAATAAAATTAGTGTTTAATGTTTCATTCCTAACTATGTACATAAACAGAACTCTGTTTCCCTCCAGTTTAGTTTGTCCGCGCTAAAATTGTTCGTATTTACTATTCAACGGAAGTTGGGCATTAATAAATAGTTAGTTTTTTTTTTCTACTTTTTGTAGTACGTTTTCAGGTAAAACAACTGCGAAAGGAAGCCCATGCGTAGTGAGGTGATTGACCACAAAATTGAAGGCTGCATGTGTCAGAGGTACTATTGCGTAAAGCGCAAGACCTGTGTCATATGTTCGCTGGTTCCCGGCGTTCCTTTCGTGGTGCGCCATGTCACTTGGGGGCGGGAATCAGCCAATGTCATCTCGCTTGTTTCCGGCGTCCCTTACGAATTGTAAGTAGGACGCAGGTAACTATTAATATTGTTCTTCTGGCCGGCCCAAAAGCGTGTGACTAAGTGACGTAATCTGAACAAATTCTAATACACGTTTCTCGCTGTTTCTGTGAAAATTGATAACAAAAGAAATAATTTTGTATTCGCCCAATTTTCGAGCGTAAGCGTAAGCGCTGACGCCAGGTAATCAAGGGTAATAGAACAAGCAACGAGAAAGTGACGGACCAATCATAATGCTGGTACTATTACTAGTTACCGGCCTCTTGTGGCTTGGTACACCATGACACTTGAGGCGTAAACCAGCCAACCAATGTAACCCTATGTAACCACATTATTGTGAACACTAGTACACTATTTGAGACTCAAAACAAGTCTTGTAGTTTTCTCGCTCACATCGAGGTCTCGGCGTCCGTCTAGGGTATTACAGCAATAGGTTGTTTCCACTGTCACTGCCTCAAAAGACCATAAATGTAGTGCCGACAACGATCCCGCATTTGTGAAATAAATTGTACACGCATAAGGATATCTAGTGAGCTCTCTGTCTGTGAATATGTATTCGACCATGCTTATGAATATCCATTGCACATTTCACAAACTCTGAGGAAAACTAACGATATATAATATATGTTGATTCCAAATGTGTATTCGTTGAACGATTTTTTTATCGCGCTGTTTTGTTTTTGTATTGTTTTTTTTTTCCGGACACAAATATCCCTCTGCTATGGTCGTCTAAACATATTTATCAATGGATCTTGACTGTCAAATGATTCTAAATACATGAACAATTATCAGAACAATAGCTGAAACAAATCTTAACGTCGCAAAATAATTTCCCGATCAAGAATATGTGATTGTCAACTTCACCAATGTGTTTCTGTTTGTTTCTTAGTGTGTCCGAAAAGTTCGATCGTCACGTTAACACGGATGTGTCAGTCACGTGGGAAGGCTACGTGAAAGCGCCTCAGCCAATGATATTGCAGTCCACATGTAGCATAGATGCCACGTACTTCCCATTCGATATCCAGGTGTGCGAGTTGAAGTTCGGTTCCTGGAGTTATTCTTCCAGCAAGATCGATATAGTTGTGCACCCCCTCAGTGCAGGGCTTAGCAACTACGTCACCAATGGGGAATGGGATTTATCGAGCTTACATGTCGTCAGAAATAATATAAAGTACGAGTGCTGTACGGACAGTTACCCAGATGTGACGTATACTCTTTACCTGCGTCGACGACCACTTTTCTATATTTTCAATATTGTTCTGCCAGGAGTATTGCTGTTCATACTGGTTCTGGTCGGGTTCTATTTGCCGTCTGACTGCGGTGAACGGATGACGCTGTTTGTGACCAGTATGTTGGCATTGATGGTTTTCATGACTATTGTATCTGCTAACATGCCACCAAACTCGACCACAACTCCGTTTATAGGTTAGTATAATTCATGTATTGAATTAAAGTGTGGGATTCGGAAGTGGAGTAATATATTTATTCTTTTAATTTTACAATTTGGTAATGGTTATATATATTCATTACTTTTCCCAACAACTTAGTAGTTTATATAAATTAAATAAATAAATAAATAAATAAATAAATAAATAAATAAATAAATAAATAAATAAATAAATAAATAAATAAATAAATAAATAAATAAATAAATAAATAAATAAATAAATAAATAAGCGACTGCGACGCTCGAATTTGAACGGTGACCCGGCGCTCGCGAATTCCACTATACGGTAAACCGGATATGATCGTTTATGGTACATTCTCTTGTGACAGAGTGTGATAGTTGTAATTATAGATCACACACTACACACACCGAAATTAAGAATAATGATTTCTTTCAAGAACGGTTCTTGCGTTTTTGTCATGGCCATTCAGTAACCAGTACTTTCGGAATCACTCTGCATTCGGGCATCTGAAATTTTTACAACGATGATTGGGTAGATCATGCCAATACTAGTATGATGACGTATTTGTATAATTGTTGTACTAAACCTATGTTAGCGATGTTAAATATTAACTTTTGTTTTCAATATCTATGCTCTTCCGATAGCATACTGGAAAATCGAAAATTCATGCCTATCGTGATGCGTGCACAATGGCAGATTTCTTATAATGCACACCGAGCTTTAGACTGGTTTTTATCATTTTTGCCCAAAATTTGACGTTTTCATAGACATATTTAATGAAGTGTTTTGAAAGTCTACACGAGTGTCTGACACAGATCGCTGTTCGTGTACTTCATAGTTTGAACATATTTATTTTGCATATTAAGTAGTTAACAATGGTTAGTAGTTAAGAATCTGATGACACCGGTCAACGTGTTGGTGTTGGTGTTTTCTTAGACTTTATCGTGGAAAAATAAAAAAACACTAAATTATTATCAAAAACATAATGGATTATTAGTTGCATCTTAACGTGATGTTTTTGGGTACGAAAAATGTGTTGTTGTGAAATGTGAAATCTTATAATTATAATTAAAACAGGAGGGTCGTCACCTGCGCACGCGCGTGAATTGAGTCCCAAGTGACGATAACAACACACGCTAAAAACGCAAAGGCTCATGGGTGGACGATTGTTTGTAAACAATGACACGCTATGGCCATCTGACGCATGCGTACGTGACGCCTCCCCCGCTTTAATCAACATATATTTACTGGCGTATATCATAATTGAATTATGTTTGTTGTAATAAATTAGTCTCTACTTTTTTTTCACCAGAGCAATATTACATCATCACTATCGCCATGGTAGTACTGTCTTGTATCGTCTCTGCGTGGACTATCAACATTCATTTCCAGGGACCAGCCTGTCACGCGGTGCCCACGTGGGTACGAACTGCCGTGTTCGGTTATTTAGCTTCCGTTGTTATGATGCGCAGATATTGTGCGCAGTACTACCCGGATAGGAACGGGTCTCACTCGCGCAGCTACGGAGAATCGTATGACGGTAACGCTGCCGTGGTTCAGCCTCTCAAGCAATGCACCGGTAAAGGTACAAATGGTAAAAGTAAGGGGGACGGTTGCATCGGGAACATTAGCAGCGATTGCCGAAAGATGTCACCGGAAGTAAAGCTAGAAATGGCGAAATCAACAAATGGCGATAATGGATCCACAGATGACAAAGACATGTTTGTGAAAAAAGTTGATGAGTGGAGAGCCGTGGCACGTATAATAGACAGAGCATTTTTGTTCTTTTACATCATTGTGTTTCTAGCAATTACGTTTGGATACGTACTGTCTCTTTATGCACATGGCGAACAATACAAATAATGCTACAAATCAGATGATGATACCGCTTCGTTAATTATACCTCTAACTAGATATTCACTATGAATAGTAGTAGACTCCCGAACATATCCCTTATGAGTGACACTGTCTAGGTACATTCTTAATTTGGATACAGTACACCACTACACATAGTTATATATCATATAAACATTTCGTTTTCAGTAAGTTCATTAAATTGAATTCCATTGCCTCCTTATATGTAGACATTATTTGGGGAATAGTCTAATGTGTTTTTTACAGATTTCAGGAATTCTGATTTAGATGTGTTTTCTCCGATTTTCTCTAAGCATAACCCGATGTCTGTAAGCATACCCTTATTGCCTATGTGCATACCCCGACTTTCCGTGTGTAAGCATGACCTGTGATTACCTGTGAGCATACCCTGATTGTCTGTGAGCATACCCTGATTGTCTGTAAGTATAACATGATTGTCAGTAAGCATATCCTGATTGTCTGCAAGCATAAATTGATAGTCTATGTGTATAAGCTGTATATTGCCTTTGTGAATACCCTAATAACCTGTCGACATAATCTGATTGCCTGGGAGCATACCTTTATTGTCTGTGAACATAACCTGGTTGTCTTTGAGCATACCCTGAATACCCGTGAGCATACCCTGATTGTCTGTGAGTATACCCTGATTGTCCGCGATCATACCCAGATAGTCTATGGGCATAAGCTGATTGCCTGTATGTATGTATACCTTAATTACCTGTCAGCATAACCTGATTGTTTGCAGGCATAACCTGATTGTCTGTGGGCATCCCTGATTGTCTGGGAGCATAACTTGATTGTTTGCAAGCATAACCTGGTAGTTTATGTGCATAAGCCTGATTGTCCGTGAGCATATCCTGATTGCCTGTGAGCATACCCTGATTGTCTGTGAGCATAAACTGATAGTCCATGTGTATAAGCTGATTGCCTTTGTGCATACGCTAATTACCTGTCAGTATAATCTGATTGCTTGATTGTTTGCAAGCATAACCTGGTAGTTGGTGTGCATAAGCCTGATTGTCTGTGAGCATACCATGAATGCTTGTAAGCAAAACCTGATTGTCAGCATACCCTGATTGTCTGTGAGCATACCCTTGTGATCTGTGTGCATACCATGATTGTCTGTGAGCATACCATTATTGTTTCATTGTGCATCATTCATCCTTGATATTACACAGTATTTACTTAACAATATTATAATTATGCACGTTTGGAAGTTCCTCGTTCAATTTTCGGAACTTAAAAAATACTTTAAACACAATTTTTATTATAGGCTTTTTGTAATTTGCATAAATCATTCACATTTTATAATGTAGTAATTTGCAAGTGTACGATATTTGAATAAATTAAAGTAAAACGTGAAAAGTTGTTTCAACCATTTCGTTCATTGATAGTGTCTTTAGATTTATAAAGATCGCATTGTGGTTTCCAGTATATACATGAACGATATATCGTTAATTTCCAAACAAATACATTCGATTTATATTTAAAAAGCTGATTTAATCTTCAGCGCCTTGCAGTACAATACACTCGCGAACCTATTAGCATACAATCATATACAATTTTTACAGTGACACAATTTGTGCTATTTTTTAGCTCCGCTGACAACTTTGTCGAGCGGAGCGGAGCTTAACATATGAGTGATTGTCCGTCGGCGTCCATCGTTCGTGTCAACCTTTTACATTTTCAAATTCTTCTTGAAAAGTACCGCTCTTATTGCTTTACCTCTCTCAGATTTGTTCATTTTGTGATGATATCTTCAATTATCTAATTTTGGTGAATATTTTTGTTATTTTTGGTAAAAAGTGATATTTCTGACTTCTTGTTAAAAACCGCAAGTCTGATTGCTTTGATACCATACATATATGTACCTCAGGTAGACCTCTCTCACATTTGTTCATTTCGTGATGATATCTTCAATAATGTAATTGTAATGAATATTTTTGTTATTTTTGGTAAAAAGTGATATTTTCAAATTCTTGTTGAACACAGCAAGTCCGACTGCTTTGATACTATACATATTGTTCATTTTCTAATGATATATTCAGTTCTTCAATTCAAATGTGCATTGCTAACATTGGAGTTATCTCAGCCGAGAAGCTGCTTGTTTAATTAATGAGCCGAAATAAAATAGTGCCTAGACGTAACACGCACATGCTCAATGACAGAAACAATGTAGCCAATGAAGATTGTGAACATGGTTTACGTTGGTTACTTTAAATAAAAGAAGTCACACTAGTTGTCGCCGAGTGTCGGTAAACGTGTCACCGTTTGACGAGAGTAAATCACAAAACAAAACAAAATGTTGCCCGCTGCGTATGTTGAACGGTCGAGCTGAATCGATGCCCGCAATAATTGAATAATCGTGCTTTCTTAACTCAACTAAGATCATTTCTTATTATACATCGTTGGCATTTGTAATATAATATTAAAGTGGGGTCCCATAGCTTTTAAAGATCCGGTCTTTCAAGTTGCCGTTAAGCGATTCAGTTATACAGCAGCTATTTGAATCAGTGAACATCGAACGCGTGTCTTTTGGATCGAATAAATGTTTATTAATGTCTCTGCATAATTCTCTATTATATACAGCAGTAATAACAATTACCGGCGCTAAATATCGGCTTTATAAATCACATTATAATATAAGCATAATATAGTTCAATCATACCAATATATGATGGCAAATTTATCCAACAAACTATAGGGTGTATAGAAGTCATGTGACTGGGGTTATTGCGTAATTTCTACTTTACTCATTTAAAACCATATAAATGATATTGTGAACACTTAGAGGCCAGTCATCATTATCAGGTGCACCCCAAGTTTATTGAAACACGAGGAAGTACATTGTTTTTAATGAACAGAATTGTTTGTCCATTAAAATCGAAAAGGAGTATGGTTCGAAATTATGCCACATTATTATGCTTATTCTTTTTTCTCACTGTTCATCATGGCTTATATAACTCATAAAACCACGTGACCTTTACTTTGTCTGAATTACTGATGATGTATATTGGTATGCAGTTGTATCAGGAATTAACAAAGTGTTGTCGTTTGTCTATATATAGCTAATTGTTGAGTTTTTACGTTGAGTGCGCTTGTAGCTGCTACCTACATATTGTGCACACGGGAAAATATTTTGATTAGCTGCTCACGTGACATAATTAATTATGCGCATTTCTAATTTCCATGGATCTAATCCGCAGGCAAGTACACTTCTAACTGGTTATTGTCCATAAGGATAAACTATAGATTACAACGCCTGGGTGTTTACTAGTTGGGTGTTGAAAGCTACCGTGGTGCGAACATGATACTTGGTTACAAGATCTGGGGATCTCAGAAATCCCATTACATTAAACATGTGAATCTTATGTCACTAAAATAATACCTGGCAGGGTAGTCGAAATAAATCATATTTTGCATATTAGACTTTAAATTTTCGACATTGTTAAATTCTTTCGTTTTTACGGAAGAAAAGCAATATATTTACCAGGTAAAATCTTTTTTCATAAAGTTATTGTTGTTGAACACGCTAGATATTTTATAATTTCAATCAGCTTCGTTCAGTCATAATACAAAACTAACAAAAATATCGACGATATACTAAATTATGTTCTGTCTCTAATTAATATTCCCGTGAAATCAGTAAATATTAGAAATATTTCTGAATTCACTTATCAAAATCAATTGTTTTAGTTGTTTGGTCAAAAAACGAAAGAATTATCACAATGTCGAAAACGGACTCATGATCGGTAGACCCAAGTTCAAATCCTACTTAGGCTGAACATCCAATGGGTCGACCCCTACCATAGGTGAGTGTGCCACAGACTCAATGGAAAGGCCAATTCCACTGGCAGAGATTCATTCACTAACGAATGCGACTTTGGGGGAACCTTGGTTAAGGTCCGCAGGTGCTTGTGTTCGACCGAGCCTGGAGAGACAACAGTTACATTCAATGTCCGGAACTGTCGCCTGGCACAACAAATGTTTTTAAAAAACGGAACGTCTTTATTGTAGTGTTATATTAACCCTCAGTTCTGAAATGCACCTGTTATATACATATTAATTCAGACGAGGAGACAGATAATCGGTTATCCATGTTTTGCTCGGGAAATCATACAAACAACTATTGTAAAATTAATTAATTAATTATCCGTTTGATATAACAACAATTAATTAATTAGACAACAGCGTAATAAAAAAGTGAACTGAATACGCAATTGAAAAACCAGTATGTTGTATTCATTCAGGATACCGAAATGAAAGAGATAAAAGAATCCAAAATGTCATAAAACAATGTGAAAACCGGCATTTTAACACCGCTTTCTAATCTTGTGAAAACATTTTAAATAATTGTCATAAAATAGTGAGTTTCCAGTGTGATAACAGTTTTCCATGATATACAATAAGAGGTTGTCTCCCATAATACATTTCGTATTTGTGCAGTGACATGCTCAGTGGTGCTGAAACTGCCTTAAACTGAATGTTTTGCAGACTTCACCCTGTGAATAAACAGGCAGCTGCATGTAATTTAACAAATCAATCCACATGTACCGGTTCTAATTAGGAATTGGGACAAATAAACATACGTGATGAAATTGGCAATGGTATAATCTATTTGACGCGTGCAGGAATTTTAATTTTGCTTAAGTCAATATATCATGTTCAGTTTACTGTGTCACGTGGTATTTGTATTCCAATACGTCACAATTATCCGCCAACATGTTTCCTTGTTCCTAGTTCGTTGCTATGCAACAGTTACAATAATCTTCCAAGTATCCGTTTGATATAACAACAACAACAAGTATTTGCGTGTAAATGTCACCTTACAGTACCGTGAACTCTTGGAATTTTGGCAACTTTGCACAGATTTTACGCGTCATGCACGAACTTCGAACGAACTTGCTGCCTCTTTTGATGGTGTGATTAAATTCGACACCTTTTGAACAAGGATGGAAATTGTCTAAAATTGCTCTACTGTCAAACCT